GGGTCTGAGAATCGAGGATAAACAATCCAATCTGTATGAGAAGAGATCCCAATGACAAAGTTTCAGATCTGGAATGGAATTGAAAATCCAACTCCAAAAAACCCAACAGCGATGATAAGAGAAAAGAACCAAGAGCTTATAACTCTGATACCATGTTAGAAACTGAAAAGAAGGAGAAATATCTGAAGAAAGGTTTATTGCTTTCTTGAATTATACTGTATGTACAATGACTTATATATAGGTGTTTACAAAGAGAATATTCTCTTTGTATACTTTTTAAGGTATAAAGTATACAAAAAGAATATTCTAAAGTATAAAATATTTACAATAATTCTAAATATAATTATGTTCACATCTTAACAATAACAAAACTTAATCCTAAAATTTACGAATTTTCATTATACTTTCTCCCTCTATAACCGAACGCACCTTTCACACTTTGCAGGAGGAACGCTCAATTTTTTATTACTGCCTGATTTTGCTTTCAAACTTCCAGTTTCAGACTTAATTTATGTGCAAAAAAAAGTTTACTAGGGTTGATATCTATATTAAATAAAAAATTTTTAATTTTAAGTTAACATGAATTGAAGTAATTAACTCTCGATAAAGTATATATGGCGCAATTGCAGGACAGTGATATGAAATACTCCTTCCCTAGAGAGGTGGGGATAGAATAGAGGGCTAGCTATCATCAGCCTTGCAAGACCCATTGCCTTTCCTACTCTCAATTTACTAATGAAATTTAGGTTAGATGTTTATACAAACAACCAATCAATTAGAGTACAAAAGCATTCATATGGAAAACCATATTGAATTTTAGCCTCAAAATTTAGGGGTAATTGTTTGTCAAGTACTTAACACTTGTGCTAGGAAAACTCCATTTCTCCGGTACTTCAGAAAAGAAAGTGTATATTTTCTCTAATATTAAAAGTAACATCAAGCACAACAATATTTAAGAGACCCTAAGATTAGCAGAATCCAAAAAGAAGTCTATAGAATTTGAAACTTATACGTAAAATACAAATGAATCATCACCAAACAGCTGGTTGTATCTTTTGGTCTGCAGAGAGATTATTCCTCACTTGATCTTAGCCAAAAGGCCGAGAAAGGTATAGATTATTCCTCACTGGCTGACGTAGGAAGTATCCTTTTCTAAATTTCATAGTCTATTATTGACCTTATATGTCACGGCAAAGTCATGATGATACACGAAGACAGACGACTCGACTGCTCCCAAAAAGGGATGGTGCCAAAGGATTCATACTAATGGAATTTGGAAGAACCAAAATTAAAGGCAAGGTGGGGTCGAACACCTGATAGTGATATATAATTATATATGCCTAATTTCAAAAGGAGTTTTTTTAACTTGGACCTGCTTATGATGTTAATGATGTTCTCACATGCCCGCTCTCTATTAATGGTATATATATATTTTTTATAGAAAAATGTAGTGTAATTTGTATAAGATAAATTTCACTACAAACTTTTCTTTTTCCAAATGAGGGCAGTATATTTCAGAAAAATATTCAATACAGACCCTTTAAATATTTTAAAATGTATACTCTAGTATAATAGTGTTGTTTTACAATCCTACCCTCCGTAGGCTGCAAAACAATTAGTCATTAATAGAGAGGACGTGTTTTAATATGAAAGAAAAGAAAATTAAGATGTTATAATATTAAAAATATCAAGATATTTAATAATACTTATATTATGTAATGAATTTGATAAAATTATAACATATATTATACCTCATATATTTAATAGTTATAATTAAAAATTTTAATATTTTTAATATTAAAATGTCATAATTTTTCTTTTTCTCTATTTTTTTTTTTTTGAACTGATTAGATTGGAAGTAGAGGGATCAAACCTTAGCCTAAGGTTGAGGGGATGCTCTTTTAACGAGCTATAGAACCATCGGGTACAAGACTTAGGTGCAAAATGTTATAATTTTTTTTCTCTATTAATATTAATAATTAAGTAAAATGTAATACACATAGAGTAGATCGCACTTCACTTTCTAGATAATGTAATACCCTATTTGTGGAAAAAAAAAAAAACATTCAAGGGTGGTAGCATTCAAGATATAATCTGGAGGAGCCTTTAAGCCCGTGTTGGTTGGACGTATCTATTGAGAAGCAAGAGTGATATTTTAGGTCTGATATTTAGAGTTCAAATCTTTATATTAACACTTAAAAAATTATTTTTTTTTAAATATATTAGATGAATATAAGATGCATACTCATAAAATTATTTTAAAAAAATTAATTTAAAAAAATATAAAAATTAATCTAAAACCCATCATTGAAGGTCAAAAAGGAAAGATTTTTATTTCATTAACAGTCTCCATAGCAATGCACTGAAAAGCGCTTTTTGTTTTTCGTCACTTCAAGAAAGTGCTTCTTTTCCAAGAAGTGCTTCTTTTCTCTAAAATTAATAAATGTTACTAGTTACTACCACTATTGAAGTGCTTTCGAGATTAGTAGAAGAAA